TTCTCTTTTTTTTTTTCGCCTGCCCGGATTTACGTATCGCGTATTTGTCCCCGTTTCACGTTTTCACGTTTATACGTGAACGCATATACGTGAAACGTAAAATTTCCTAAGCGTATAGTGCAACATAGCGCAGCAGAGCGTGCTAGCTAGCACGCATCAGAGCGTGCTAGCAACGCAGCTGAGCGTGCTAGCAACGCAGCTGAGCGTGCTAGCAACGCAGCAGAGCGTGCTAGCAACGCAGCTGAGCGTGCTAGCAACGCAGCTGAGCGTGCTAGCAACGCAGCTGAGCGTGCTAGCAACGCAGCTGAGCGTGCTAGCAACGCAGCAGAGCGTGCTAGCAACGCAGCTGAGCGTGCTAGCAACGCAGCAGAGCGTGCTAGCTACGCAGCTGAGCGTGCTAGCTACGCAGCTGAGCGTGCTTGCAACGCAGCAAGCAACGCAGCAGAGCTCGCTAGCAACGCAGCAGAGCGTGCTAGCAACGCAGCAGAGCGTGCTAGCAACGCAGCTGAGCGTGCTTGCAACGCAGCTGAGCTCGCTAGCAACGCAGCAGAGCGTGCTAGCAACGCAGCAGAGCGTGCTAGCAACGCAGCTGAGCGTGCTAGCAACGCAGCAGAGCGTGCTAGCAACGCAGCAGAGCGTGCTAGCAACGCAGCAGAGCGTGCTAGCAACGCAGCAGAGCGTGCTAGCAACGCAGCAGAGCGTGCTAGCAACGCAGCAGAGCGTGCTAGCAACGCAGCAGAGCGTGCTAGCAACGCAGCAGAGCGTGCTAGCAACGCAGCAGAGCGTGCTAGCAACGCAGCAGAGCGTGCTAGCAACGCAGCTGAGCGTGCTAGCAACGCAGCAGAGCGTGCTAGCAACGCAGCTGAGCGTGCTAGCAACGCAGCTGAGCGTGCTAGCAACGCAGCTGAGCGTGCTAGCAACGCAGCAGAGCGTGCTAGCAACGCAGCTGAGCGTGCTAGCAACGCAGCTGAGCGTGCTAGCAACGCAGCAGAGCGTGCTAGCAACGCAGCTGAGCGTGCTTGCAACGCAGCTGAGCTCGCTAGCAACGCAGCAGAGCGTGCTAGCAACGCAGCAGAGCGTGCTAGCAACGCAGCTGAGCGTGCTAGCGACGCAGCAGAGCGTGCTAGCAACGCAGCAGAGCGTGCTAGCAACGCAGCAGAGCGTGCTAGCAACGCAGCTGAGCGTGCTAGCAACGCAGCTGAGCGTGCTAGCAACGCAGCAGAGCGTGCTAGCAACGCAGCTGAGCGTGCTAGCAACGCAGCTGAGCGTGCTAGCTACGCAGCAGAGCGTGCTAGCTACGCAGCAGAGCGTGCTAGCTCCGCAGCTGAGCGTGCTAGCTACGCAGCAGAGCGTGCTAGCTACGCGCAGAGCGTGCTAGCAACGCAGCAGAGCGTGCTAGCAACGCAGCAGAGCGTGCTAGCAACGCAGCAGAGCGTGCTTGCAACGCAGCTGAGCGTGCTAGCGACGCAGCAGAGCGTGCTAGCAACGCAGCAGAGCGTGCTAGCAACGCAGCAGAGCGTGCTAGCAACGCAGCAGAGCGTGCTAGCAACGCAGCAGAGCGTGCTAGCAACGCAGCTGAGCGTGCTAGCAACGCAGCAGAGCGTGCTAGCAACGCAGCAGAGCGTGCTAGCAACGCAGCAGAGCGTGCTAGCAACGCTGCTGAGCGTGCTAGCAACGCAGCAGAGCGTGCTAGCAACGCAGCAGAGCGTCGCTAGCAACGCTGCTGAGCTCGCTAGCAACGCAGCAGAGCGTGCTAGCAACGCAGCAGAGCGTGCTAGCAACGCAGCCGATCGTGCGAGCAACGCAGCCGAGCGTGCTAGCAACGCAGCCGAGCGTGCTAGCAACGCAGCAGAGCGTGCTAGCAACTCAGCCGATCGTGCTAGCAACGCAGCAGAGCGTGCTAGCAACGCAGCAGAGCGTGCTAGCAACGCAGCAGAGCGTGCTAGCAACGCAGCAGAGCTCGCTAGCAACGCAGCAGAGCGTGCTAGCAACGCAGCAGAGCGCGCTAGCAACGCAGCAGAGCGCGCTAGCAACGCAGCAGAGCGCGCTAGCAACGCAGCAGAGCGCGCTAGCAACGCAGCAGAGCGCGCTAGCAACGCAGCAGAGCGCGCTAGCAACGCAGCAGAGCGCGCTAGCAACGCAGCAGAGCGCGCTAGCAACGCAGCAGAGCGCGCTAGCAACGCAGCAGAGCGCGCTAGCAACGCAGCAGAGCGCGCTAGCAACGCAGCAGAGCGCGCTAGCAACGCAGCAGAGCGCGCTAGCAACGCAGCAGAGCGCGCTAGCAACGCAGCAGAGCGCGCTAGCAACGCAGCAGAGCGCGCTAGCAACGCAGCAGAGCGCGCTAGCAACGCAGCAGAGCGCGCTAGCAACGCAGCTGAGCGTGCTAGCAACGCAGCTGAGCGTGCTAGCAACGCAGCTGAGCGTGCTAGCAACGCAGCTGAGCGTGCTAGCAACGCAGCTGAGCGTGCTAGCAACGCAGCTGAGCGTGCTAGCAACGCAGCTGAGCGTGCTAGCAACGCAGCTGAGCGTGCTAGCAACGCAGCAGAGCGTGCTAGCAACGCAGCTGAGCGTGCTAGCAACGCAGCAGAGCGTGCTAGCAACGCAGCTGAGCGTGCTAGCAACGCAGCAGAGCGTGCTAGCAACGCAGCAGAGCGTGCTAGCAACGCAGCCGAGCGTGCTAGCAACGCAGCCGAGCGTGCTAGCAACGCAGCCGAGCGTGCTAGCAACGCAGCAGAGCGTGCTAGCAACGCAGCAGAGCGTGCTAGCAACGCAGCTGAGCGTGCTAGCAACGCAGCAGAGCGTGCTAGCAACGCAGCCGAGCGTGCTAGCAACGCAGCAGAGCGTGCTAGCAACGCAGCAGAGCGTGCTAGCGACGCAGCAGAGCGTGCTAGCAACGCAGCTGAGCGTGCTAGCATCGCAGCAGAGCGTGCTAGCAACGCAGCTGAGCGTGCTAGCAACGCAGCAGAGCGTGCTAGCAACGCAGCAGAGCGTGCTAGCAACGCAGCTGAGCGTGCTAGCAACGCAGCAGAGCGTGCTAGCAACGCAGCAGAGCGTGCTAGCAACGCAGCAGAGCGTGCTAGCAACGCAGCAGAGCGTGCTAGCAACGCAGCAGAGCGTGCTAGCAACGCAGCAGAGCGTGCTAGCAACGCAGCAGAGCGTGCTAGCAACGCAGCTGAGCGTGCTAGCAACGCAGCTGAGCGTGCTAGCAACGCAGCAGAGCGTGCTAGCAACGCAGCTGAGCGTGCTAGCAACGCAGCAGAGCGTGCTAGCAACGCAGCTGAGCGTGCTAGCAACGCAGCTGAGCGCGGCTGAGCGTGCTAGCAACGCAGCTGAGCGTGCTAGCAACGCAGCTGAGCGTGCTAGCAACGCAGCTGAGCGTGCTAGCAACGCAGCTGAGCGTGCTAGCAACGCAGCTGGGCGTGCTAGCAACGCAGCAGAGCGTGCTAGCAACGCAGCTGAGCGTGCTAGCAACGCAGCAGAGCGTGCTAGTTTCGCAGCAGAGCGTGTTAACAACGCACCAGAGCGTGTTAACAACGCAGCAGAGCGTGCTAGCAACGCAGCAGAGCGTGCTAGCAACGCAGCAGAGCGTGCTAGCAACGCAGCAGAGCGTGCTAGCAACGCAGCTGAGCGTGCTAGCAACGCAGCTGAGCGTGCTAGCAACGCAGCAGAGCGTGCTAGCAACGCAGCTGAGCGTGCTAGCAACGCAGCAGAGCGTGCTAGCAACGCAGCTGAGCGTGCTAGCAACGCAGCTGAGCGCGGCTGAGCGTGCTAGCAACGCAGCTGAGCGTGCTAGCAACGCAGCTGAGCGTGCTAGCAACGCAGCAGAGCGTGCTAGCAACGCAGCTGAGCGTGCTAGCAACGCAGCTGGGCGTGCTAGCAACGCAGCAGAGCGTGCTAGCAACGCAGCTGAGCGTGCTAGCAACGCAGCAGAGCGTGCTAGTTTCGCAGCAGAGCGTGTTAACAACGCACCAGAGCGTGTTAACAACGCAGCAGAGCGTGCTAGCAACGCAGCAGAGCGTGCTAGCGACGCAGCAGAGCGTGCTAGCAACGCAGCTGAGCGTGCTAGCAACGCAGCAGAGCGTGCTAGCAACGCAGCAGAGCGTGCTAGCAACGCAGCAGAGCGTGCTAGCAACGCAGCAGAGCGTGCTAGCAACGCAGCAGAGCGTGCTAGCAACGCAGCAGAGCGTGCTAGCAACGCAGCAGAGCGTGCTAGCAACGCAGCAGAGCGTGCTAGCAACGCAGCTGAGCGTGCTAGCAACGCAGCTGAGCGTGCTAGCAACGCAGCTGAGCGTGCTAGCAACGCAGCTGAGCGTGCTAGCAACGCAGCTGGGCGTGCTAGCAACGCAGCAGAGCGTGCTAGCAACGCAGCTGAGCGTGCTAGCAACGCAGCTGAGCGTGCTAGCTTCGCACCAGAGCGTGCTAGCAACGCAGCAGAGCGTGCTAGCAACGCAGCAGAGCGTGCTAGCAACGCAGCAGAGCGTGCTAGCAACGCAGCTGGGCGTGCTAGCAGTGCAGCAGAGCGTGCTAGCAACGCAGCAGAGCGTGCTAGCAACGCAGCTGAGCGTGCTAGCAACGCAGCAGAGCGTGCTAGCAACGCAGCAGAGCGTGCTAGCAACGCAGCAGAGCGTGCTAGCAACGCAGCAGAGCGTGCTAGCAACGCAGCTGAGCGTGCTAGCAACGCAGCTGAGCGTGCTAGCAACGCAGCTGAGCGTGCTAGCAATGCACCTGAGCGCGCTACCTTTCGGTACCCCTCTGTATCTTGCTGCATATAGTGGCGCTCTGTATCACTCTGCATGGTGGCTCTTCTTTGTTCCTTCTTGCCCCTGTGGTGCGCTTGTCAGTTTGTCAACAATAACCCACCTGTTACGCATGATTAAACAGCCTTGTTTACTATTGCATCTTTCCCAGTTCTTATGATTGGGTAATCCCACTTACAATCCACAACGAGCAAACTTGCCTCTTTCCGTATTACCCCTTTATATCCCCACATCCTCCATCAGCTACGGTAACTCCATCTCTCACCTACCACCAGACCTTTCAGATTGCTCTCGCCTTGCCAACCTATGGCTCGAGGTATGCTTCTGAAATTATATTTTCGAATATATATATATATGTATGTATATATGTATATATATATGTATATGTATATATATATATGTGTATATGTATATATGTATATATGTATATATATATGTATGTATATATATATTGTATATACATATACATATGTATATATATATGAAGCACCCTTATGGTGTGAACCGTGTTCTCTGAACATTGGTCTGATCATCATGCACTTTCAATGCAATCCAGCACTTTCCTTAGGCACACATCTTCCTTTCCAGCTCGCTGCTAGCCCTTAAATCTCTTCAATTGACTGCCTTCGACTCACACATCTGCATCCCTCAATCTTTCTCCCACCCTTTGCTTGCAGGGCAATCCGCTCTCACTATCTCACACCATTCTCTCCGACACCTTTCATCGAATCAAAACTGTGGGAGTTGACTCGCTGCAACTGGCACCATTGCAGGGCATGCAGTCCCCTCTTCCAAGCAACGTGCTTGTCAGCCGGCTGGCAGGGACTGGGGCAGCGCAGCGAGACGGTGGCTATTTCAAGGTTAGTGTGAGGAATGAGGATTTCTTGTTTTGTGCAGATAGGAACAGCACGCTGGGTAGAAGGCTTCAAAGCTATTTCAATTTCCGGAATTTGCTTTTGTGACACGCAACCTATATTCCGTGCCGAGTTAGCATTACCAAAGGCCACAATGAGTCATATTCCCCACTCTACCACTCAATTATTGCTCTGAACTTTAGACGTTCCCTCTTTCTGCCCCCTCTATTGCTTCCACCTGCACAGGTGCAGCCATGGCAGCGTGTGGAATCCTCGTCAGAGGCCGAGGCCCACCGCTCCAGAGTGCTGGTTGTGGCCTTTGGCAGCGCTCCAGCCGTGCCCAACTGGTGAGCTGAGTTATCCTTTTTTTATTTCAAGTACTAACCCCAACAGTTGGAGCTTCAAGATGCAGTCATGTAAGTGGGTCAGTTTCAATCAAAGTTGCACAATGTGGCAGGGGATACGGAATTGGCAGCAGTGGTTCAGCGGGTAGAAGCAGTGGTGTTTTAAATCTTGAGTCTGTGTGACTGTGTTGCATCTGTGTCAGGGCTGGGCTTCTGCGCAAGGTGAAGGGAGACATGGGTCTCACAGCAGCCATGGGAGGAACCACCACGCCCTTTGACACGCTCTATGTCGTCGATTCCACCCGCTCCTGGTATACGCATGCTCCCCTCCCCACACTCACACAAGCAGCAAGCATTGTGAACATCTCGTCGCCACCTCCTCCTATGCTCTTTCATGTCGGTGCCTTCTCCATGAACCAAGGTTTGCATCCATCAGTTTCAACTACCCCAGCTACATGGCCTTCAGTATCAGTGCAGTCCCCGGTTCCGTCTAATGCATCAGTTGATTCATCAAAAGTTAGTTATAGTGCTAGTGGCAACACGGATGGGGCATACTACCAGAGGGAGATTGCAGCAGCAGTGGAGGGATATGACCGTGTGGTCATGATTGGAGATTCCATGGGTGCCTCAGCTGCCCTCATGTTTTCGGAATTTGGATCAAGTGTTCTCGCATTTTGTCCACAGGTCAGTTTCTCCTCTGCAATATTTTTTCTCCCCAGCCTGGCTTGTCGTGTTCTTGTGGGACCAGACTTTCTCAACTCTTTTTTTCTAGAAACTTGCAGGTGGACCTTATCTCAGCCAGTATTCGGCCTGGTCGTGACTCTGCTTGGCTCAGCTCCTTCACAAAGAATCTTCTCTCCTCAATGGAATCATGTTCTGGAATGCTTCAAGGGGCTACTTGTTCGAGGTCCCCATACGTTCATGTACATTGTGGGAACTGGTCCCATGATGTTTCACAGGCTCGACTGGTTGAGCACCTGCCCCAGGTGAGAATTAATATGGTACCAAGCATGTTTGCTTTCAAGAAGTGGTTTAATCATGAGCAGCAGCACCAATGCTGAGGGAGCACATGATGAGTCATGGTGGTGGGAGCGATGTTGTGCGCATTTATCTTACAGCCTGCTGTGGATGTGGCAGGTTGAAGTGACAATTCACCCTGTTGACAGCCACCGACTGGCGAAGGACCTGGATACGAATGGAAGGCTAGTTCCACTGGTCAAAGCAGCCCTCACCTGACATATAAGTACATTACATTCCAAGCCTGTTCACGTGTAATCACACCAAAGACGTAGTGGACTGTGTTTGCTTCCAGCATCACCTACTGATGTTGCACAACGTCTGCACACTACCTTAACTGCACGTTGAACGAGAAATCTTGGATGATCTTCTTGCACTGCTCCATGTCAACGTCTCCAAGGTCCAAGCCTTCTCTTGCTTCTTTCTTCAGCTGCTGCAACGTTTCTTCTGCAACTTCTCGGCCTACCAGGACATACTCTTCCTCCGAAACAATCTCTACCAGAGTGTTGCTGGGCCCAGCACCGCTGTTAGTTGTTGCCATTTGGGTGTTGCTTTCTTCTGGAATAGCCAAAAGAGCCAGCATGTTCTCAATGTTCTCCGTATCCTCGTTTCCTGATAACAGCAGGCTGGGGCATTGCTCACTTGCCACCGGGCTGGTGTTTTCGTCTGGATAACTGTGTGATGGCCCAACTTCCTGTACAGGGACAAGCTGTTTCCCCGCGAGGCCATGTGAGCTCTCCTTGGGGGGAGCTGGTCGAAATATAACCTGTGATGGCTTCATGCACGACGGCAAGAGGAGCTTCCTTCTGGATGGTGGCTCAGGCTCCAGTGACTGAGCAGCACCTTTACCAGAAACGGGTGCATCTACAGCAATGACTTTCCCATTCATCAGTGGCGTGTTGAATGGAGTAGGGCCACATCCAGGTGAAAAGCCTTGCGTGATCAAGTGCATCGAAGACGAGACGTGTGTCAATCCATGTGCTGGCTCCAAACTCGTGACGTTTATGCTTTCAATCTGTGAAATGTTGATTTCGATAGGGCCAGATTCGGATGGAGGTTGATCTTCCAGCAGCATGACCATTGAAGGTGCTTGTTCAGTTTCAGAAACATTCTGTAGGTCATTACGAGGGTAGTGTGCGACCTTTCTTGGACTGCTTTGGCCAAGAGTTCCTGCATAATACATTCGGAAGACATGAAATAATCCTCAAGATGGACAGTCCTTACGTGAGAATGCATACGTTACCTTAGTGAGAATGCATACGTTACCTTCCACAGTCCAATCCTTGCCGAAGTCTTCCAAGTCTGAGAAACCATCAAATCTTCCACTTCCTCGCACATGTAAAGTTGGTGTTTCTCGCTTGCTGTTTGGCTCGTTGGATAAGCGAAGCTCTGTAGAGACGCAAGAGAACCTCAGCTCATGATTGCTAGATCTGTTGTCATAAGCCTTGGCTTCAATGCTTTCGCATCCTCCTGACTCGGTGTACCGCACACAAGGGGGTGCTTGCTTTGAGGATCTGCGCATGTGAAGGCCAGTGCTGTTCCTGTCCTTGAGCACACGAGCTGGTAACAGCTCGTGGTGCGAATCTCTGTTCCAATCTTCAAGAAGTGCTTGGAGCTGAGAGTCTTGGGAGGAATATAGGCTGGAAGTGTTGCTTAACCGTATGTCAGGGACTTGATCTGCTTCTGAATCACAATCCAAATTTGCACGTGTAGCAGGCGGTGGCAGGCTATGTCCAATCCCAAATACAGGTTCTTCGGAAGCCTCGGGATGTATAGCACCTGAAACTATATGTTAAAAGCAATCAATGGCAGCACACTCGCACATAGGAAAAGCAGAGAGTTCATAAACAGCTGTGAGTTACCAGAAAATGTCGAAGTCCCGCAGGTCTTGCTCTCAGAGAAAGGTTTTTGGTCTGTGTGGAACAGTTTGAGGGATGATTCAGTCAGTGCTCTCTTGGGATTGATTTCACTTTCACTATGCAACCCAGATGAACGTCTTCGTTTCGGTGATTCAAAGCTGGAAACTTCAGCAGATTTCGTTCCTCTCGAAGGAACAGATTTAGCCATTGCGAGGCGACGTTGGTCACCATGCTCAGTGAGCGAAGAAGCATGACTCGTAGCCACATTTCGAGATATTGAGCCTGGTGACAGACCACCTACTAACTGGAGAAAACATCCGTGACGTGCTGAATTAGAGTGTGAATAACCTCCTTTGTAATCCTTAACTGGAGAGCTGATGCACAAACTTGTCGGAAGCGCACTGGTTGAGAACGTTCTACCTAACTTGGGAAGGTCAGACGACCCCACGGTAGAACACAATGCTTCAGTGAAGCCAATTTGGCTTGAGAATGAGGACGCTGTTGATCGGCACCTTCATAAAGAATTGTCCATTGATTGCGGCGGGGAAGGCATTCTGACGGTATCGTAATGTTGGGAGGGAATGACGGAGCGCCCTGGTTTCGGGTTTCCGATTCCTTTGGGCAGTGGTTTTGACAGCGCCTCGCTTCGCGCTCGCGTCCGATACCTTCGGTCAGTAAATTACGCTATTTTCCCATTTGGAGTCCAGAAACTACAACTTTGTTTGATTTAATGGGACAAAACATATAAACCCCTCACGGGGGGACGCCGTCAGGGAGGCATCAACCCTAAACACCATGAGGCAAGGTGTTTAGGGTTGATGCCTCCCTAATGGCCAGCCCTCCAAAAGGGGTTTATTTTTTTTCACTGGCCACTAGACTAATACCAGGTAAACTTAATAATTTTTCAGGTCACCGGAAACTGGAAATGTCGAAATCAGCTGCCCCAAGGAATCGGACGCGAGCGGAAAAGCGAGGCGGTGTCAAAGCCACTGCCCAAAGGAATCGGAAATCCGAAACCGGGGCGGTTCGTCATTTCCTCTAATGTTGGGTTCATATGCACGGGCCTAGGGTGATTGTTTGAACAACCTAACGGGTAACAAGTGGTATGAAACACTTTAGAAATGGTACCAAATGGTGCATCGTGGTATTCTTGCTTGATCGGTCCGTTAATCCTATATGTACCATTTCATAATTATGAAGCACAATGTGCACATAAAAACTGTCATTTTGCAAGCAACATTTATACTGTACATTAGCTGGTATGTACCGGTAGAATGCTAGATAGCTGCTGATGAAATTAGGCTGGTGGATTAGATAAGGACAACAATGCCGAGCGTTCCATTTCTATTGCAGATGGTTGCATCAGCGATCAAATGTGTATCGAGGTGAACCTGAACAAGGAATTGTGTCAAATGCCTTTTCTTGCAGTTACTTTGTAAAGTACTACCAGTTCTAGTATCAGTACCGTCATCGCCCGGATATAAGACATATATGTCTTATCTCGTACACGGGCAAAAATGCTTGAGTTATCTTGTAAACGGGATGGTTTAGGGTGTCTTATAAGTCTTATAAATGGAAACTTTTTAAACTACTTAGAAATATTTTCCGTACTTCTTGAAAAAGAGTTCCTCATAATGAGTGTGGATGTTGCGAAGGTGCCACTTCGGCAACCACTGCCCGGGACGCCACGTCATGGAGAACACCTGCAGAGGCAAATTTGGTACGGTATGTCCTGGGTCAGCGCGTGGAGAAATTCGCGCTTCGCAAGGGTAAAAATGTACGCGTTATTTCAACTTTCGCTATAATGTATTGAAGTTTCGATTATAAGACATATATGTCTTATCTCGTACACACAAATAGGTGTCTTATAATGAGGCTAGCCTGTTTATAAGAGACACCCGTATAGTAGACAACCCCTGTCTACTATTCAACACTGTCTTATATCCGGGCGATTACGGTACTACGGAGGCTATTAGCTGTAGTTGCAACAGTGGTGGAGATATCAAAGCTGTGTTATTCTGTAAGCTTTTTCAATCCATACAACAAGAACCCATTTGTCCATGATAATAGTCTAGAAGCAACCAGTAGCAACAACCACAGCAGCAGCAGCTCCTGCAGTTAAGAGTGCATGCAACAGTCCCCAGCTTGAGGCCTGCCCAGCACAAAATATGGCTCGGACTAAACTACTCACTTCCCCACCATCACTCTACAATCTACTCTGTGCTGTGAAATGGATCTTCAACAATCATCCGGCAGAGCAAGCAGCTTCAAGCAGCAGGAGGGGTCTTGCCATCAGCCTCTGACACAGGCACGTACTTGCCCTCAATGAAGCCCTTCTCGTTGATGGAACTCACAAACTTGAGCTCAACCTGCATAAAGCATAGGAGCAGAACATGTGAAGTGGATGCATCAGCAACAGAACAGACAGATTGACAGAAAAATTCTTGCAATTGTGAACTAAACCATCCCCCCCAGCCAAAACCCAAACCCCAAAAACCTCAAACCCTGAATTCAGATCCCAACCCTCACCTCTTCTGGCTTGTTCTCCTGTGCCTCGGCCTTCTTCTCCTGGAGCTCCTCCGCAGCCAGAGGAGTGAACTGCGCATCCAGCGACCGTGCAGCAGCTATCCACGCCACCACTATGCCCAGCAGGATAGCACCCAGGTACGGCGTCGAGTTGGCGAGCGACCCAAACGCGAAGATCAGGAACTGTTGAATCAGAGCGCCACCGGACTTGCCCAGGGGGTTGCAGACGACGTCAATGGCAGCCTTGCCCTTCACCTTGGTCTCCTCGTCCAAAGGAATGTACGCCATCTCCTTGCACGGGTCAAACAGAGAATACTTGGCGCTCTTGCTGAAGATGTTCTGCGCTGCACCGACGTACACAGCGGCCAGCAGCGGCGTCAAGCCAATGCTCGCGAGCGCGGGCGTGAGAGGGCCACCGCAGAGGACAAGGCCAAAGAAGGCGACGCCAGTGAGGAGGAGCACGGTGGGAGTGATGAGCGCGGCGGTACCCCAGCCATACTTGCGGAAGATGACGCGCGAGAGCAGCATCATGGCGAAGGTGACGATGCCCGTCATGGACGAGAAGTCGCCCATGAACGACGAGTAGTCGTTGGGGTTCGGGAACTGCACAGGGAAAGACCGAGGTTCAAGGATTGTTAGAAAGATAAGCATCATATCATTTACGAAGGCGTATGTACGTGCGAAGCTGCGCCTTTGACAACAAAATTGGAGGTTATAGTTCCCAGGAATGCTCGCATTGTCAAAAGAGCGAGCTTTTCTTGTGACATCATTACAAAAATGACCGTATGAACTCGATTTACATGTTGTAAAACGCAGCTGCAGGTCAACGCAAGT